TATGAATGAAAATACGGTTCTTGTAAAAACATAAAACTTTTGATGTGGATAATTAACCAAACATCGTTATTAGTGTAAAAGAATTAAGTAAAAGTAAGCTTATGTATTTTGCTCACCTTTTGTTTTACCAGTTTTCAAGTCTGTTTCATAGTCTTGATTTGTCCATAAAAGTTCGGAAATCTCCAAAATTTCGATTTCAATGAAAGACATCCGAGGTAAATTTCACTAAACCTGATATTGTATTGGTTTATTTGTAGTTATCTTTCGTTTTATAAGTAAAATTAACCAGGAATTCAAAGCTTAAAAATGTCGGCCATGGAAAACTTTGTCGAAGATTCTTCTTCCAATCTTCCAAGAAAAAAATCTAGCCCCTGGGTGGTGAGTTGTGTACAAAATTCATATGAGTGGGATCGGGAGAGTATTCTCGCGCAAAGAAAACGATATAGTGCATTTTGATTCGTTTTCAGTACATGCTTTTTATTATGGGAGACATAATCTTAATATTGAATTAAAAAATTGAAGATTTTTTTCCGATTTTAATTTTACCCTTCAGATTCATTCAAATTGGGCTCCCTGGCTCCCTAATTTCGTATCGGGAGCTCCGCTTTTAGGCAGTGCCTAAATATATTTAATAGAGATATTTATTAGAGAATCAACTTTTTTAACGACGATCCCCCAATAAAATTGCAGTTGACACGGACATAATGGGAATCTTACCCTATTTTGAAGGGAATATTGATTCGTCTTTGGAGAATTTTTAATGCTTTAAAAAGCTTCAAAAAATATAGAAAATATGAATCAAAAAGGTATTAGAGCCACGAAACACTTGAAATTGTCAACCATGTTACGTTGAATTTTATCAGAAAAAAATAACTTGAGATTTGGACCTTGTTGAGGGGTATATTAGGCGTTGATCAATATGAAGATAAAAAATAAAGAAAAACAGTTTCATCGGAATAATGGAGAAATGACAATTTTAAAGAAATCTCCATAATAAAGATGGCAACACTCAAAAGATTCTTCATTATGTTCTTGCTTTTTCGTCTCTTCGCGAAACGTAACACGCTAAATTTCAAGTTGATCTGAGTTAGTCATGCCCTGAGTTAGATCACCCAAGACTTTTCAGGGCTCAATCGAAATTGAAGTATTTTATGAAAGTAGAGTGCAAACAATAAAACCGTGAAACTTCAGTAATACTAAATAGCACAATTTCATGCAAATTCCATTGTTTTCTATTCTTTAATTAGCACTATTTTGTACTATTTAGTAATTAGTGTTTCACGGATTTATTGTTTGCACTCTAATATTTTTTATTTCAATTTCTAAAGAAAATTCGTCGAACAATTTATGGTACAAAATATCACAATATTTACAGCGCCTTTGTGACGCTAGTCAAAGTTTAATAGAACCTTTCAGGAATTTATAAATCCATCTTAATCACAATAAAATATTTGCTTATGTTGGTGTTTGATCTGAATTTCCTCGCTATTTTTTTCCACATCCATTTGAGGTAAATAACCAGTATTGCATTGATATCGATTCGCTTGGATTTCACTCGGTTGTTATCGTGATCGAGTTTGATTGGTGGAAGCCAAAACCCGTGTTTTCGAGGTCGCGTAATTATGAAAGGCGCTGTAAAAGATTTGAAGGAAACACAAAGCAAAATCACTTATGATTAGCGCCGCAGATGTTTGCAAGGTTCCTGTAGTTAAAAACTTGTAAAAACCCAATTTGAATAACTATTGTTCTGCGCTAACAACTAGCTACAGACTAGCTTCTTGTTCACGTGGAAACAAAAAAGCGTTTTTACATACGCCTAATTCAAAAAGCGTTGTCATCGCAAAAGGTGATAGGCGATAGGTCATTCCGAAATGGAAGTTCCAAAGAACATTGAATCAGTCTCAACACTAAGCTCCTTGTTCTTGACAAGAATAAGAAGCAGAAACACAAGTTATTCCAGATATTCTTGGATCTTGGAATGACCTATCGCTTTTCGCCTATCTCCTACTGCCTATGGCATTAATTTGCGATGACAACGTTTTTTGAATCTTGGCATATGTTATTCAAATTGGTCGCCATATTTCGTTTCGGGATAATAGAGAGAAAATACCAAAAATCGAAACCAGGTAGACAAGCAGTAAAAGCTCTTGTCAGTAAATTGTTCCCAGGCATTATTTCAATTAAGAAAAACACACTCGAGTTTTGCGATCGAGATTCAGCGCACCAATTAAGAGCCGTTTGTCTGTAAATACCGAGAATCGCCGGACAGTTGCGAAAAATCAAATTTCTTTTTATTTCATGAATCAAACCCCTTTGGCGAACTATTTGAAAAAAATAGTAATAGTTTTATATTTCTTTTCTCTTTTCCACTTCCTATATTCCCTTGCGCTCATTTTCATAGTGACTATTGACTATTATTTAACAAAGATGTAGATTGATATCAAAGACAGAGACAAAGTCTATACCGAAAAAAGCCGTAAAAAGCCTAACTAGAAAAACCTTTAAATTTTTTAAAGCCTGCTTTTGGCATTATTTTTGAAATCTAGTACTCGCTCAGTCTACCACTTTGACTTCCAAATCACTGTCTGAACATGCTTTTCCCAAGTGGGTGGGTAGCATCGGCAGTGTTTTCTTTCAAACACCTGTTCCATTGACAATTGGATTGTAATCTTCCATCATTTCTGCTCGGAAGATCAAGCCATAACAAAACGAATACAAAAGCCAGATGGGAAATTTGTGCAAAAACTAGAAGAACTTTACAGCTCTGGACAGTTTGACAAGTTGAAATATCCGAACTAATGAAAGTTAATAAGATCCCAGACTTTCATGGTAGGGTTGACTTCTTCGGAAATGAGTAGAATAACTATATTAGACACATGGACTTGTTTTTCAAAAACATCCATTTGTCAACATGCTGTTCTAGATACTGTCCTGCGAAGGAAAGATATTTAACAAACTCTAATTGCATCACATGGGCAAATTGTGACATCTCACTATCTGAAGAGGTACAAGCATGGTTCCAGCCATAGAAAGACGTTTCTTATTGCGGGCAGAAATTTACATCCCGCCCTCCACAAGAAGTAACAATAGTTGTTCAGAGCAACAGGTAAATACTTCCCCCCGCAATTGTATGGTTGTTAGGTTGCTGTCTGTCTGTTTTTATTATTCTTTGTTTTGTTTATCGACTTTTGTTTGTAAGTTTTATTATTATTAATATAAATATTTTCAGCATGTTGTTGTTTGTTGTTGTTGACGTCTTTCTAAGATGGACTGCCTCTCATTTTACCCGTAGATGCAGAACTCATGTCGCAAATTAAGACGGATTTGAGCTGTATACTAGATACTAGGTGAGTGAATAGTGCTGTATGACGTTTAGATATAAAAAAATGGCCTGTGGTAGGTACAGGTACTGATATACCACTACAAAAACTTTGATGCAATTCAGTTCTATATCAATGCTTGAATGGGGGAATTTTTTATAAAAAGGCCATGAAACGTAATAGTTTTGTAACTCAAACTCTCAGCAGCTATCACAATTATGATTGTTTGTACAATAATTCGAAGTATCTGAAGCTGTGTCTAGGGCAACGTTTATTGGTGTCGTTGCTGAAAGCTTTGTAAATAGTGACGCTCTGTGGTTGGACGTTAATGTTTTATAGACATACCATTGTTTGTCAATGTTTCAATCATTTTAAAAGGAGTTGGATTGTCCAACAAACAACCAAAGAAATAAAGTTTTCAAAGGGGTACGAAAAGTATTTAAAAGATTTTCCACCTTTGTTCCTCTTCTAACCTTTTCCTTTTTCAGTAACTTAGAGTTTTCCTTCGAATATTGTTAATATTTTCAGGTATCAGCTTAAAGCAGGGACTTTACTAAACGAAAAAGCTCGTCACCTCACATGTATATTTAGATATCAGAATGAAAAGTATGACTAGGACAGAATGGCCTATAGTGGCAATCAAGAACAGCACGTCTCCTTCACTGGTGGCCTACAACAATGACTAATTCCTCGGCGTATGGGCTTATAAATAGATGTTTTTACAACAATAGAAAATAACTTCATGCGTTATGATGTAAAATAACTTAATCAAACGACTCCCTAAGGGATACTACTAATAAGGACTATTAGTATAAATGCACAGGTGATTATTGAAAATCTCGCGCGCTAATTGGCCGAGAAACTAGATTATCACACGATAATCACCCCCAGCGATAATCCAAAAATGGCGGCCAGCCGCTTTGTTGCTGTTACTGGGAAAAAATGTGTCTTTTATCTTCTTTTTTTCCCTTTCTTTGAAAGAATCACCTGTGTATTTATACTAAAACAATTATTCACCTCAGACTCAGTGGATATCTGGAATGATAACCTCAACTTCGTTTCGGTTGTTATTCGCCGATATTCACTTCGCCTTCAGCGAATAATTGTTAATTAAACTATTGCAACAAATATCACATCAGATAAACTGCAAAGAAGACTAGATGCAATGTTTTATTAGTGCAATGTTTTATTAGTGTCAAGAGTATAGATTTAACAAATCGCACATAGATTTCCATTGTCTGTCCTCTTATTGATCATAGATGTTGTCTTAAAATGTTCAAAACTAAAGTGGAACCACGAGCGCAGCATCTATGATCAATAAGAGGACAGACAATGGAAATCTATGTGCGATCTGTTTTTTACAACAAACTGCAAAATGTTTACAAAATAAAATAAGCGAAAAGTTTTTCGAAAATTTGTCATTCAAGGAAAGCAAGGCAATAGACCAAACAGCTCCGATTATTGTGAGCTTTTGAATATTTTCGCTAAGATAGTTAGTTTTCATGATCATTAGAGGACAGAGTACAGAAAGTAAGACGAAGGTTTTTCGGTTATTTACTTTTGAAAACTTCAAAGGTTATTTTATGACTTACAAAAGTTTTTTTCATAAAACACGTCAACATTTCACAACCAAACTTCCTACGCTGTGATTGGCTAATTTTGACAGTTCTTTGACAGCCACTGTGAAATAATGCTTGCTATTGGTCAAAACTTTTGACATTTACTTATAAATGGCTTTTTTTAGCTAAGTCGAAAAGAGTTTGAGTCAGAACTCAAAGGTTCTAAAAAACGAAGCTTACTAATAAGTTCAGCTAAGAAAAGCAATGTCAATTTCGCTTGACAACATAGACATTCACGTTCTGGATGGAGCAGCCATTGAAGATCGACTCTGGAATGGAGTCAATGGCCATCTCAGACTGTACAACCTGTACAGAAGTGGAAGCAGACGAAACAGCCCTGGGATCTCGATCAAGCCTTCTACTCTCGCCCTCTGAATCGGTCAATGCACTGGAAATCACGTCCGAGCAGGTCTTTAGTTGCTGGACCGATGGTCTTCTGTTATAAGATAGAATACTCTGTTCATTGGTATGTCCAGAGATGCTCATTATGCGACGAGTCGGGATTCCAGCATTTGACCACATGGTGATAGCTGTTGCTCTGACGCTGTGGTTCGTGTAGACTTTTGACAAGCCGGCTCCGATAGAGATTGACTTCATCATATCACCCAACTTGTTGACACCTAGAGGCTTGTTTTCATACCACACTGGGTCCTCTGGTGTAAAGATTGGCACTGGTCTTTGAAAGAACGCTTGTTGTTTGGAGTTAAGTTTGGAAAGATAGTACTTCAGGACCACAGCAAATCGCAAGTTTCACCTGTTGAATACAACCGTGTTTCGTTTTCATAACTCTGCTTGTCACAAAAGCCACCCTGATGGTTTTTGGTCTGCTCCTYGTGAGTCATGGTTGCATATTCCTTTCCTTCACCGTCAAGATCAAAAGTAAAGCTTTCTCGGCGGAGCTGTCTTTGGCCCTCACAACCACGGCGGCACCAATACAGGGTCACTATGAACCACACTCGCCGAAGGAGGCCGTAAGGATTCTCGTGGCTCAAAAAAGGATTTTTCTTGACTTTACTCACATCGGCTGGCTCAATGACTGGATTGTGTTTGGTATTTTGTTTCTGTTCTCTTTTGTTGACCTTCAGCTTGCTCTCCAGTATCTTGTTAGAGCTGTAAAATGCTGGGTTGTAAGTGAGCTTCATTGCTTTACCATTGACTGCAAAATGGCGTTCAACAGCATTCCTGAACCCAAGCAGCGAGGAACGGCTATACTCTTCACCTTTCTGGTTTCTGGCCTCTGCATAAAACCTCTTCAGGATGTCAGCTTTTAGCTCGGCCTCTGTTAGATCCAACAAGGGCTTGCAAATGTTTCGCTCATGGCACCATTCTGAAAATTGCATCAACAACTCGTAAGTAACTAAAAGTGAAAGTAAGATTATTTCTGTAGATTTCTTTATCCTTTTCAATATTAGCAAGGTTTGAACGCATGTTTGCTTGAAAAAAATGAGCTGACCTACCTTGCAACAGTTTTAATACCCATTTGGTGTTTCTTTTTGTGCCCTTCGCGTTAGCACTTGACACAAGCTCATTCAAGTCTTTTTCTTCGCAAGTTGCAAAGCGAGATGAATTTTTCACGTCTTCCTCTATCTTTTCTGCCTCCAGAACTAAATATTCGTCGGCAAGACTATCAGCAAGATTAAATTCAAAGTTTGGTTCCTCTTCTGGTTTCCTTGTCGACTTTTATTAGCAAAATAAATTCGCAAAATCACAGTCCTTACGATAAAATCCTACCGGCGAGTCTTGGTTTCAAAAACATTACGTCATCCATGTGTCTGTCCTCTTATTGATCATAGCTCTCAGCCAATCAGAATGTGTTATTTACGTGAGTTGTTGTAAAAATGAGCATTTATGCTTGTTGTATTTATAATTTACTATCCCATGTTTACCAGGCGCGCAAAAAATCCGTTTTCTTTCCCAGCAAGAACTCTGGGATTGTCGTATTCCACTACGTGACCCTGGTGAAGAACCACTACCTTGTCATAGTCCATGATGGTGTTCACTCGATGTGCTATGGTTAGCACAGTACATTTAGTGAACTTTTGTCGTATTACTTGATCTGATCTGTCTTGTAGTCCACTTATTTTGTCTGCTGTAGCCTGGTTCAGAAGTAACTTGGAATAAGTCATCGCCCTTTCGACTGACGTCATTTGGTTCTCCACTTCACAAGCCATACGCATGCCATATTGGAAGTCACCAAGGAGACCCGTCGCGAAGGACAAAAGCATTCCAGCAAAAGCTGAAAGGACAGCAATAAGCCAATGAATCAAAATCTCGAGGGAAGATTATAATTTCAAGCCCATTTTCTTTTTTATGAAAAATCGTTGTTCACTCCCTTCCAACATCTTGACCCAAACTATCTCTTGTTGATAAGTAATACCTAAATGATTGCTATGTCTTTGCTTGCCGAAGTGCAAATGAACACGCGGAAGCTTTTTTGGAATTTCCATTCAAAATGCAACTTCACAATCCCAATACCAAACAATGGTAATGGTAATGGTAATGGTAATGGTAATGGTAATGGTAATGGTAATGGTAATGGTAATGGTAATGGTAATGATATTGATATTGATAATGGTAATGGTAATGGTAATGGTAATGGTAATGGTAATGGTAATGGTAATGATAATGGTAATGTTAATGATAATGGTAATGGTAATGGTACTAATAATGATAATAATAATAATAATATAATGATAACGGTTTATTAGCATTCCACCCATTCCACCAGGTGGTTCTTCTGTGCTAAATAATTAAAAAATATATATACAATATAATTATACTAATTTATACTGATATACTAACATTACTAAAAGGGGGAGTTATATTGTATAAAGTAGGATCAAGGAGAGAAAAAAGAGAAATAAATGACTTTGTATATGTATATGAAGAAACTTAATGAATGCAAGGAATACAATAAGGTGTGTGACCAATACTGACATACCAACATTATTAAATGGGGAGGGATATAATTGAATCACACTGGAGAAAGATAAGAAAAATGACTATGTGTGTATATATCTATATCTATGGAGAAACTGAAATCATATGAGGAGAACCATAAATGTATAAGAAAATAAAGTCCTAATCAAACTGTTTACCTAAATACTTACATAAAAAAGGAAAGATATTTGATAGTTTGCCCGAGATAAATTAATGATGAAAAATATATATATACTATAAAATGATGAGAAGGAAACAAAGATAGATAAATCATGTGAACTAAAGAGAGGGACTTGTGCTAATCATACTGTTTGTTTAACCAGTTAATGAAGAAAGATAAGAAAAATGACTATATTTATATATATATATATATATAGAGAGAGAAACTGAAATCATGTTATGAAATCAAATTATTGAGTTATTATTGGATGTGGAGAAATGAGAAAATTGTTCCCTTTTATTTTAGAGCGCACGGAGTTTTAAAAAGGCATAAAAACAAAAAAGGTCTATTCAGATAACAACACCGTCAAACAGTTCCAATAGCACTGCAATGCAAACTCGACCAAGTTTTCCCATCCACCATTACGTGGAATGGCATATATGATTTGACTTTGTACACCTCAACTGGATATACTGCTAACGCCTTGAACATTGTTGGCCCAATGACTGAAGCGTTTGAAGTGTCATCCAACAATTTCTACTCGCACAAACACTAACGGTGTAAACATGTTAAAGTCAACACTATTGGGCGTGTCTAACGCACGAACCCCTGCCATAGAACCAGTTTGAACAACGAAGAGACAATGAAAATTGTGCAATATTCTATTTTATTTTAATATCAGGCATCAAGAGCTAAAATAAATTAAGTTGAATGCTGTAGCCTTTATAACTATGTAAATAGCATGGAATGTTTTGAGTAAAATCTCGATTTGAAATCTTGCGAAAATCCTCAATCTTGAATCAAACGAATCACAATTTATATAAAAGTGAAAGGTGACAATACAATCGAAAAAAAAGCGTTATTTATTAATTTTCTTTTGTAAATGGTTCTCCACAGCACGAGAAAAATTCAGTACAATAATTTTTCCCCAGCGCACTTTTGTTTTCCAATATAACTTCCCTACGGTCCTACTGCTAGTATTTTTAAACTTTGAGCTACCGCAGAACAACATTTGTTCAACAGTCGTTGAAATCACATGAGAAAACAAAGGCAGTCTTAAGTTATGGAGAAAACTATCTTGACCTTGAATACAAGAGTTAAATAAAAGTGATTTTCCCCCGTTTTTATTGTCACCTTTGACTTTTATCTGAATAGGCCTATTTMCCTTGGGCGTAATGGTTTTCAGTTTAAGACCACATGCCATTCTTAGAGTGCAAACAATTAATCCGTGAAACACTAATTACTAAATAGTACAAAATAGTGCTAATTAAACAATAGAAAATAATAGAATTTGCATAAAATTGCACTATTTAGTATTACTAAAGTTTCACGGTTATAGAGTGCACTCACTAAAACCGTGAACATTAAATAGTAATAATTGGTACTATTTCATACAGAATCCTTTGTTTTCTATTGTTTAATTATCACTATTTAGTGCTAAAAATTAGTATTTGTTTCACGGATTTAGTGTGAGCACTCTATTGTTTGCACTCTATTATTTCTTTGTTTATTAGTTGCGCACGTGAAGACACATGAATATGGATACAATTCAAACAAAGAATCTGATTCTCAAGGGAATGACACGTGGTCTGAAATGGGAAAAAATTGTGCTCAAGATAAATAGGAATATTAGGCTCTCCGTGCTTAAATAGGCCCTTCGCAGCTAAGCAATCAAGTGCTGATTAATAGCGCAGCGCACTGATTCTAAAAATAGCTTAAAGATTCGGACAAACATTGCATTCTGTTTAACCACTACGAGGATTATACGAACCGATTTTATTTTTACTCAAAGTTACAATAATAACCCATGTAAACTGAGATCAACTGCAATCGGCTGTGAAAATTATCTGCTGAAAGTAAACTTGTAAGTTTGTTTGTCCGAATTTCGCCTTTGTCTTCGTTTTTATGACGTCACGGTTGCGCTGCGCTATTCACTGAGAGCAAATGAATGAACATTTTGATTCCCATGGGTGAAATTTACTGAACTTTCTACAACCTGTTTCGAGAGATCGTAATAAAACTGCATTTCGTAACACACTGGATACACATGTTTTCATTCAGTTCTTTACAAGTACTAAAAAGAATCACCAATTTAATATAAAAACAAAAATTTTGCAGTCCAGTACAGACTCGTGACCGTTAACTGCAAAGGGCCTATTAAGACACTAAACTGTTCTTATCTCATGTCAATCTCGAGCTTGAGCCATGTCACTCTTAATACGCATGCTCCAAAAAATGCAATTTCGCCGTAGATGTGCAGTAAGAATGACAAGACTCTAGGATCAAGAGTGATTTATTGTTTTATGCTTTCTCCTAGCAAAGTACTTGTCCTGTAGTGAAGCGTTGTTATCTATAGCCATAACCACCTCGAGGTCCTCTTGAAACCGGTCTACCATACATGTCTGTCTCTTCTGCTTCATATGGATCCCCTGCATAGCGAGGTGACACAGGACGCCCACCATACCGACTGCCAGGCCTGACCATCTGGTCTTGCATTGGGTTATATTCATCGGATGATTGTTCTCCTATTAGTCTTCCCCAGTCTTCAATTCCCTCATCTTGCCCTGGGTAGCCATTATTAGGATATTCTTGACCTGGGTACTGTACTTGCACGTAAGGGTTCATCATTCGTCTATCTGGATATGGACTGACAGGGGGGCCATTGGTTCCTTCATATCTTTGATCTTCATACATTAGGTATTCTCCTTGTTCTCCACCGATGAAATCAGGACTGACTGCCCCTTCACGGGACATGAGCGTGACTGGGTCATCATAGCCTGGGTGACCGTAAAACAGCTCTTGTCTATCTAGAAGATCACCATCAAGATAAGGAGCTTCATCACCGCCGTACATGAACCCTTCGTCATCATCCATCTGCGCACGATTCTCTATCATCTCTAACCACTGAGAGTTGTGCCATCGAAACTTTTCAGCTTGAATCTTCTTGGCCCAGTCCTCGTCGTATTCCTGAAAAATCCATATTAATTAATCTGGATGCTTGGGTATCAGTTACATTTATTTTAAATTGATTACTGTGATTTGAAAATCATAAATGGGATGCGGCGATAAAAGACTTCATTATGTTAAACAGGTGGGGCGGGGATATCAGTATTACAAGCAAGAAAAAGACTATTTGATACAAGACAATTTGATACATAATACGAGCTCTTTTTTGGTGTTACAGGGCACCTGATCCACGAATATAATAAAATAATAGCTGAGAACAATGAGTTTGGAGCTAAACAATAAATAAATAAATAAACAAAAACAAAAGCAAAAACCCTAACCCTAACCCAGAATACAATAAAGCTTGCTACACAAAAAGAGACCCGAATCTGTGATTTGCTGGATCGCCAAAGTGTAAAAACAACAACAACAAACAAACAAAAAACAAAAAAAAGTTCCTTCCCCTTGTAACACCTTTACACACTAATACCAGAATCCTCTATAGACTTTTTTGTCATGTATAATAATAAAACAACTTTAGTTAAAACACCTTTCGAATTCACAAGTTAATGGTGTTCCTTAGGCCAATTATAGGAAATACGGAAAGGATTCTGTTATTAACTGCGCCTTCTACCAACATGGTGCTTATGCTGGCGGCCATTCCTCACGCAAACCGATTCGATGTCAACAATCTGTTTTATAGCAGTTTTCAACAACATGTGAACTCGGTTCGCTACCGTCAATAATAAAGATGATGATGATGATCCTGAAGATGATAATGAAGATGATGATGATGAAGATGATGATGACGATCATGCCTTTGTTCGGATTCGATAAAAAATACCAAAGCATAAATTAAAGAAAGTCTAGAAATTATAAATCGAAAAGAGGGTGTCCSCGATTGTTTCAAATGTTATTAAAAATAGGTGTTTCGGTATTCTCTAACAACGCATCAATATTAATGACGCTCAGGTATGTACAGTACGATCCTTTTAAGATTTTGACTGGCGGCAGTGAAAAACCAAATTCCAACGGGCAACTCGCAACTACTGAGTTTTCCCGATGTATCATTGGACTTACCATGATAATATCCAGAGTTTGATCACAAACTTTACGTATCTCTGTGTTTTTGTCATGCATCAGGTCGATAAGGTAAGCAGGAGCCTCTAGATCAGTATTAAGGTCCAACATACATCAACGCATAAGATATAGTTCTAAGGTCATGATAACCAATACCCAGAAAGAAAAGTAGGGGGTGGGTGTTGGATTTGAAAACGAAATATAGTTATATGTGTAAGACTAATTGCGAGACACAGGTAGTGGATATTGAAATTCAAAATCTTATGGATATTAAGCTCTATTGCCACTTCTCTTTCCAGTGGTGGATCTAGGTTCTTTTTAAAGGGGCTTTGGGGAAGGGGGGGGGGTCATTGGATACAACTGCGCTAATATTCAACAAACAGTTCACTGTAGGATTCATTTGCGCTTGAATAATGCCCTTGCATTCATCACTTGCAAGCATATGGTTGGTATTGGTGGCGTTCACTGCTAATGCGTTATCTTTCACTGCTGTGAGTCCAACATGTTGTGTCGATGGTTCGAGCACTGCGTACGCCACAGTCATGTGAATTAAGTTTGTTTGCAGTGTTGTTATCTCACTTGCCACAAGGGTTTTCCTCCCTTAGTAAAAACCAATATGCGAGTTGAAAGTTGTGTAGTAAGGAGTGTGTATGGAGGATACATCACCTCACAAGCTTATAAATATAGTGTTAAAATCATATCATATATAAATAAACATATTAATTAATTAATTTTAATTTTACCGCCCCCCATTTGGCTCAGTTGATTGAGCATCGGGCTTCCTTGCTTCGAGTCTTAGGCGGACCAGCATAACTGAGGAGAAGGTATTGCCTTTGTAAAAACTTCTACAAATGGTGGTCCCGTCTCTCCACACTACCTCCCCTTGCCTCGGAGAGACGTAAAAGAACCACTGAGAACATAAAGAAACCCTGGCATTGACCACTCTCAGTGTCTGGCCTTTACTATTGATATCTTAATGGATTGATTGTAGGATGGGTATGGGGATTTTAAGGGCATGGAAATCGTTCAATGGAACTCCAAGGCTACCCTGTGTCCCCTTGTGCAGCACCAGCCTGTGAGCAAAATTTCGAATAATTTAATCCAAAGGATACGAGTTTCTTTGATAATGACGTCACGAGTAGCTTTATGAAAGATCATCTGATAGAAGACGTAGACGATCTGTAAAACCACCTCGTCATCCTCTTGTTTAGCTTAGATTACAAATTAAACTGATTGTCAGTACTAATTGTTACTACTCTATACTACTCTATCTAGCAAATAACCTTTGTTATGAGATTTTGAGATCTTCTAGAGGAGGAGAGAGTGCATCAAACAAATGCTATTTATATGTAGTGTCAGTGTGAGATATATATAAAACAGTGATTTGACCAATTAGAAGCCTTACAATAACTCTTGCATCAACCTTATCACTAAATGCCTTCAACCTAACATCTATTTCACCCCGACCTGCTCTCAGTCTGACCTCTAGCTCAGCTGGTAGAGCATCGGTAGTACAATTCCGAAGGTCGTGGGTTCGATTCCCAGCGAATTTAATTCCAAGGGCTTTCGCCCGGAATAACCTCGTTCCCAAGCACTATAACTTATCTGTGTTTCTATATCTTCGTGTGTTTCATGGTTGCTACGCGGTCCACATATTCTCATCTTTGCCTTCAAAAAGAGTTTAGAAGCAAGGGACGAAAGGCAACGGCTAAGAATAAAAGCTCTTTTTTAAAGTTATTAAAGTTTATCGTTCTCCTACCGTTAAGCAGTTCAATTAATGTCTGTATAATTCCTTCCTTAGCGAGAATAGCAGCACATTCATCATCCATAGAGACAGTACCAATCAAAATAATCGTTTCTAGGATGATGTCATCTTCAGCAGCACCTGTCAGGCATTATAAAACAACAGGTTACTTTGGGAACACTTTTAAAAACTAGAGAAAAGTTTCTTTTTCCCCCAATTGCATCGATATTTCAGTGCAAACACACCAATTAGGACCACGTTTGCGAAGACAACCAATCATAAAGCAAACTAATTCAAATTAAGATAAAAGCCAGTCAAAAGCAAGCAAGGAACTCAAGATTTTATTATCTGACAAAGAGCGTAGATGTTATTAACAACCGTGGGAACGCGAGTGGTCTCAGTTAGTGTGTCCGCACTATTGGGTGACATGGGAGGCATGCGCTGCTACTGTGCTGTCTCTCACTGCTGTGTAGTTCGTGCTTGGGGTCGCTGTATTTGACTATCGACTAGGCCGCGATTTGAATTGAGTTTGTTTGTGTGTCGTAAATAGTGAATGTAGTGGTAGTGCGTGTGGAGTGACCCTCACGGAAGAGAATCTTATGATGATGTGATGGTTGCAAAATATAAGTTTTAATGAACAACACATTAAATAGTATAATCATAAAATAGTTTTCAGAGGAAAGCAAAGGTTTATAACTATAAAGTCTAACAATATAATATTAAGGAACGTTCTTCACCTGGTTGTAGCTTGCTTTTAATGAATGCCAACATTCCGTAATCTATCAGTAGTTGCTGGAATTCTAAGTTATGTATCGTCAGATTCCCTAAAATGCCTAAGGCCTCTACCACGAACTCCTCATCTTGACATTTCAAAACTGCATTAGCCAAATCGCCGATGAAGTCCTGCACACACAAAATAAAGTCAGCTTACCAAAATATTTTCCAAGGATAGGATAACGAATAGACCTATCCCGAATTCGCTTGACTGATAACGAAACAATGGTTTCAAGTCGAGGTTGAACTTGATGAATAAAAGAATCAAATTCAATCTCGACTTCAAACCATTGTTCCSTGGTCAATCAAGGGAATTCGGGATAGGTCTATTACTATACTAAACCAAAAAAAAAAAAAAAAACCAAAATAAAACAAAATAACCCCAACAAAATGGAAGGATAGAGGCAATGAATGAAGACATTCATGCATGATCGATTAAGGACAAATGAATCGGCAATTGTAAAAAAAAGCAACAAAAAACAAACAAACAAACAAACAAATAAACAAAAAGCAAACGAGCAAAAAAACAAAAACAAAAACAAAACAAAACAAAAACAAAAAAAAAAAAAAAAAAACAAAAAAAAAAACAACAGAAGATTAAATGATTGCAGGGGAGATGGAAAATGGAGGGAGGGAGTGACAAGGTAAGGAGGAAGACAGGAAGAATGGACGAAGAAATGGAGGGCAGGAGGACAAAAAGAAGAAAAAAGAGGGAAGGAAGGATAAGAGAGAAATAAGGGAAGATAAATTGAATAGTCAAGAAAAGATGTTGATAACATCTACGTTTATTTTGTGGGACAGAACCAGCCCTTAACGCTGTGTTTGACACCCACATTAAATAAAGATGATGATGATGATGATGATGATGATGATGATGATGATGATGATGATGATGAGTAAGTATGGATAAAAGAGTTAAGGAATGAATGAGAAACTGGGTCGAAGGATGCCAAAGTATGGAAAATAGTGAATGAATCTTACATAAAACTTAGTAACTTTCTAGCTGTGCAGCGTCAATGGTTTAAATATTTTAAATTATACATTGTATAGTAAACTGTACATAATGTAGCATACTCACGATAAATTGTTCTTTTGTTGAGCCATCATGTTGAGAAATATTTCTTATCATCTTCAGAAGAAGTGCATCTTGGAATTTAAAAGCTCTTTTTAGGAGTAGCTTGAGCCCTGGGCCCTCACAGATCAACTGGGCATTCCTTTTATTCGCAGCAAGATTAATGCACAACGAAATGAGTTCAAGTTCAATGTTTTCTCCAGGACTCTCCAGCATCATTTTCATCACCTGTTAAAGGCAAGGCAATTTCAAGATAGTATGCTAGAGAGAAAAGAATTCTGAGTTTGAGGTAATACCTGGGTCCAGTTAGCATTGCAGTGGGACTGTCTCAGGGGACAAAATACATGTCATCTTGGAAATTTGTCGCCTAAAACTGTCCCCTAATACTCTGCAATGCCATGCAATTCTACCCAGTTTTTTGCTCGACCTTGGAATAGTTAATAGAGTTTWAAAAAAAAATGCTCTAAGTTAGAGATATGAATCGTACATAGTGCAAGAGAAGCACAGAATCTGATATTGATATTCTAAAGACAGAAATACTGGCTGGGTACTGGATGGTTTGTGTTGCTGCTAAATCTTGCTTTGACATGATTGTAGATGTGAAACAGTGGTGCATTTTGAAGTAGACTGTGGCTACAGATGTAGTCAAAATGCCATGTTTTATAATGTGAAACAGTGGTGCATTCTGAAGTAGAGCTACAGCTGCAGTCCAAAAATAATGTTATGTTTCATAATGCGAAACAGTGATGCATTCTCATTCTGAAGAAGACTGCTACAGCAGCAGTCTAAATATCAATTATTTTATAATGACYAATTTACACTGTAAATGTGTGAAAACTGTAAAGTCTTTTTTTCAACAGAATTAATGCAGTTAACAAAGAAATTATAGGTTAGGTATAAAAACAATTACCGTAGGTATGCAGTCTGTATAGGTAAAGATAGATTTAAATCTATCATCCATGCTGATATGATACAAGATACACAAAACCACCACACTGTGAATATCATTGGCTGTCGACAAATAACCAAAGTAATTTTTATTATTATGTGCATTCCTGTTTTTATATTATTCAACTATTCAAGTTAGAGTACAAATAATGCAGGACAAAGCCTGGAGCGAGTACATATATTATGCAATATTCATACTCTAGGTTACTTTGTACAATAAAAAACTAGTTTTTTTTTTTTTGAAAACTATCTTTTTTTTAATTTAACATTTTAAAATCTTCTTTTTAGGAAAAAGTAATCCAGTTGGATAATAAATAACTTATCAGGTATTTTAGGGTGGAATACTAGTGGACATTTTTTTCTCATCTTTGTATTTTGTCTTGCCCTATTGGGCTCGCCAAAATACAGAAGAAATATCCACCTGTGTTACACCCTAAAAAATCTATAAGATCTATGAATTACATTGGCTGCCAGAGGTGCCTTATCATTGCTTTCAGCTCAAGTCACTGAGCTGTACCACTGATGTACTTGTGTTGGTGCATAGCAATCGATTTTCTTTAAACAATGTATATATATTTTACAACCATCACTTCCTGTACGAGGCTCTTTAGTGAGGTTAGCTTCACCCGCACTAGCACTACATTTTATATTTTCAAGATACAGTGTGTGACACTCAAATCACATTTTGATTTTAACAGAGGGAGAAAAATCAGAGAAAACCAGCCAAAAGCCCTTGTGGCACACAGGAGAGAACAACTCATCAAACTAAGTCAACTCACATATGATGCAGCTCGAGCCAAGGCTTGGGACTGGACCACAGTACTCAGAGTGGTGAGCGGTAAACTGACTACATTTAAACTTAACTTTCTAGTAGTTATTGAATAAACAATTGTACTCACTTATAAGGTGAGCTAGTTTGGGGACCAGCCCTACTTTAACAGCTTTGTCTCTTAGACCTGAATCAAATGAAAGATTCAGCAACAATCGTAACGTGATATTCAGCAGATCCTATAATCAAGAGAATTATGAATTATATATTATAATTATCTAAAAGATAAAAATCGATTAATATCATTTATTCATAATTAATGAATTTACCTCATTCGCATTTGGTATCAAATTATTGATTCTTTCGATGATGTTGGACTGAGCCTGTTTGGAACATTATTTACATTATTTATTGTATATATATATTCAAACAATTAACTATGGTCAGTAAGATATTAATGTACTTATTTAGTGACTGTTAACCAACACTCGGCGATAATTGACCGACACCTGTTGGCTGGTTATGAAGTACACATTTACCCATGCAGTACATGCACTACTAAACTACTAAACTACTGTATGGATGATAGGTACTGGGATGGAACCCAGGACCATAGATTATGAGGCAGTACATCAGTATTACACAGCACAAAATCCCCCCCCCCCCCCATAATATGATAGCAAATTGCAGATTGATACTTTGTTCTTAATGACCTACCATTTCATCTTTGTTTTCAGTAAAAATACTAAGTTTTTTAAGGAATGAGACAACCATGATCAGGAGATCAGTATTTTCTCTTTCCAGTAGCTTGACCAGCATGGTGACTATGTTCTTATTTTTCATTTTCATCTCTACTTTTGCATCTTCTGCCAAATTCAGCAGCAAATAAATGATAACTGCAAGGAAAAGATGTACTGTGTAACAGTTTATTTATTCAAATTTACCAAATAGGTGATATTTTTTACTAATACTATTTAAGAATCTTCCAACACAAATTTAAGTAATATGTAGACACGTGATAATGTACATTATTTTTTCTGGTCCGGTATACTAAAAAATCGTGTGTTCTGATTGGCTCTTTGAGCGGGCGGTATTTTCTTAGCTGTATCTGCCTGTGCTYGCGGTCTGGTATCCTTTGCCGCTAAACAACAAAACAACCTGATTACAAAATCAAGTAAAAAAAATATGTGAAATAAATAAATAAGTTATTTACCGTCCTATAGTCAGTCCAGATAGGGAAAAACTGTGCCCTCGGTCCGTATATTCAAGACCTCGGGCACAGTTTTTCCATATCTGGACCTCCTGGCCGGTAAGTAACATAAATGTAATTTGTTTTGCTCAACTGAAATTGCCAGATAGAAATCTAGTGGACAAACAAACAAAGCAAAGTGACAGAATTCATATTGTTTGAATGGTTAGCACATTAACATCACAATGCCAAGTCTATAAACAGTATGTCCACCTATTGATAAGCCAGACAGTACGGTGAAATAAAGAACATGTGATAAGGGATTATCAAGCTACCTCTCAGAAGCTGCTCCTGCTTTTTAACAAGACCCAGAAACTTTTTGTAGCTTTTTTCATAATCTTTTCTGTTATTACTTAAATGGTAGTCAAGGAAGATACAGTAAAAAGTTTAAATTATAGCAGTGTAGAATCCTGGAACAGGATATCTATTTACTAGTACCTTGGTTTATAAAATAAACTTTTGCAAGCTCCCTGAAGAGAGTGTTTGCGATAGTAAAAGTGTGCTAGTTTAGTCACTGTCAGCTGAGGTCAAGGGTGGATCCAGTCAAACAATTTTAGGGGGGGCTAATTGAGTTTAGGGGGGGGGGGCTAATTGAGTTTCTTCCGTCAACACTCAGCGGAAAACAATAAAAAAAGCATCTTTAGAATTCTTCAGGTAAAGAATTGAGTATAAGTAGGTAAGAAGGCAAGTGCTTTTCTTATAATATATAATCATATTAAAAATTAATTGCCCATATGAGTAATAAAACTACTATGTCACTTCTAACATTGCAACTACACCCAACCAAGGCCACCCAGACAAATTTGCTTACAAATTAACCAGGCATTCCCAATTGTGTATTTAAACATTTTTTTAACAATTGAGTAACTATTTAAAATTTTAATTAAAATTTTTTACATTTTCCCTTTTCACTTTATTTTACTTTATGCATGTGTGTGATCAGGAGCTAAAAAGAAACCATCTGAACTCCATATTTCGTCAGCTTCAAAAACTTGATAATTTGTTGAGGTGGCCTTGGTTTTTGTAGTCGCATTGCTCTACTAGCTTGGTCTTCCCTTTTCTTTTAAATTTAAACTAGTGTAAGATAATAGTTTTAGAGTTATTAATGCAAAGGATATTTGTTTTCTTCTTGTCCAGTTCTTCTGTCCAAGAGGAATAACGAGCAATTTCACTTTCCATAATCTGCATACACATTGCCCCCACTTTGTAGTGTATGATTATTGAATGGAATTGAGAAAAACTCGAGAAGCAGAAGAAAACATAAACAATGTTGGTGGTTAGTTCTGTGCTCTTCTTCCAGTCTTCACGCAAAACTCTGGACAATGCTCCAAGCACAGTCTCTGTTGATTTGATAAGGAATAAAAAAACATGATTATTTTCACAACATTATGAGTAGTTTATGACTGTCAGTAACTATAAAACAGTCCTCCCACAGTATTTACATCAAACCAAAACATAAATTAATAGCTGCTGTCTTGACAATGATTTTTTATAGCATGCCACAACCATGAGAATTTTGCAARTTGGTCATAACTGCAAGGTGCTTATCCCATAATTGTATAAATTATCTCTCTTACATTGTTCATTATTTTARCAAATGCTAAATACTTGTAAGATGTTAAAATTCTTAAAAAGTTATTAAAATCTCACCATTTTGAGCAATTTCCTCAAGATTGTCTGGATTTCTCGATATCTGTAATATCAGTGMAGTGCCTCGGATTTTTTCTGGAATGTCTTCATAGAGAAGCTCAATGTAGTCATCAATGTCATTGATATTGGCCACCTCATCAATCTGTAGAATCAAATCAATGAATAGGCTGTCATGAGTATTGTCTACTACTTGTATAGGTAAGTAAGGCCTTATGCCCCTTCTGTCCAGAAGAGTAATGTATGTGTCAGTTGCCCTGAATTGTGAGGAACTACAGTAGGTTGCATGGCCCTTCAGGTTGGGAGTTTGGCGCAACTGCTAATAACCCTACCCCATAAACAATACGACACAGAAAATAGTAGCACTATTTTTAAATCAAACCTAAACTACATGTAATTCCTTATRGGGCAAAGAGTGATGATGATGTTGATGATGATGAYGACAGTTGKTTGGGGAAGCAGGAGGTATATTCTGAGGACATTGCATTTAGCCAACATGTGAAGATRAGGGATTTATTTTCTGCATCCCAGCTAGGATTTGACTGACTTTACCCTCATCCAGTTGAAGTACATGTGTGACTTTCCATGGGAAAACAGGTCTTAATGCTTTAAGGTTAATAACTCCTTTCTGTTAATGACCGTTAAATGGTTTGAAAAAGCGTTAAACGCTCTGGAAAACCGTTTTAGTTTTTCATGAAAAACTGTTAGATCATTCTAGAAAAGTGTTAGTCCTTCTTGACGAACCTTTCAAACGTTTTTTCAAAGCGTTAGCTGTTCATGAAAAACCATTAGCTAACCGTTAGCTGTTTATGTAAAATTGTTAGCAAAGCATTAACTGTTTATGAAAAACAGTTAGCAAAGCGTTAGCCAACTGTTAGTAATATCCTAGTAAGTAAGGTATAATCTATACGATCTAGTGGTAGAGGAAATATTACACCATTTCTCCTTAATTGAAGAGATCTTTTAAAATCACCATGAATGTGTGATCAAATAGCCACAATTAATTACTAGAAATCCCATTACAACATGATGACCCCATTATATAATAAGATAATTGCATAACTTTGAAACAATGGCTCCAACTTGATCTTGCACTTGTTAACATAGAGTAAAATGTCCAACCTGCACTTGAGGCCATTGTTTCCAGGTGATCTTGCCTCAAAGTGCACAAAGGAATGTTTGTCAAAACTAACAGTCTCTTAATACCCAGTCTCCTCTTTCATAATGTCTCAGGGTAATCAAAATGGTGGCTGGTGACCAATTGAGAAAACGCTTATTTTGCTTACTTTTATTGCATTTATATGCTTTGTTTCATTAATTTTAATTGCTGATAGGGCAAGAGGGACCTTTTTGTGGTCCATGTAACATAGAATTTTTTTTGTAAAGTTATATTTCAGGACATATTTTGAAAAAGTTAACTCAAGATATGACTCCATTTTGAAACTTTTCCCAATGCAATAAAAATGCTTCTGATTGGCTAATACAGTAATATTTGGAAGTGTGTGTGCGAGGTCACCTGGTTCCTTGTTACTCAATTGATTGCAGAAAAGGTCTATTGTAACAATCAATAGCTGTCATTTCTAGTCATAATATTGAAAAATAAATAAATAATAATAAATAGGATTTAGCAGTGGCATTTCCASAGAGTGGCTCTTCATCTACTGAAAGTGTCCTTGGTACTGCAACACCTCACCTCAGTGTCTTCAAAGTCTACTGCTGCTGCTTCCTGTAATGTTTTTTGTTCTGACTTTCTCTCTATTGAAAGGTTTTAAAAATTGTATAAGTAATATTATTATAACAGTGACAGAGTGGCAGCTAAAGAGGGAGAATTTTTTTGAAAACTTTCATTAGTTTAGGTGAAAGGACTACATGCTGTCCAATTTGGAAATAATTGGAYGAAAAAAATTCTGAGGACTGACAAAATTGGAAGAGGCCGATAGGCCAAGTCCAAGTTGGCAGTCAGTGGAATTTTTTGAATTCAGTTATTTCCAAATTAGACAGAAATGTAGTCCTATTGCAGATTAATTATATCATCCCAAACTACACTAGACTGATTCCATAAGTCATAGTTTYCCATCGAAAGAATGCAAATAGAAATGATCCAAATWAATCTTTAATTTGGACAGGAAAGAAAATTTGAAAAYAATACAATAGTTGCTTTTAGTAAAAATACACAGGTGATTATAGAAAATCTCGAGTGCTGATTGGTCAAGAAACTCACACTATCACACGATAATCACCTTGAGCGAAAATCCAAATATGGCGGCCAGCCGCTTTGTTGCTGTTACGGGGAAAAAAATACCTTTTATCTTCTTTTTTTTTTCCTTTTTTTTGAAAGAATCACCTGTGTATATTTATACTAAAACAATTATTTGCCTCAGGCTCAGTGATTATTGGGGAATATTTACCTCGCCACTCGAAGACTCACGTCTCGGTTAATATTCCCCGATAATCAGTTTGCATCCGGTGAATAATTGTTAAATAATGGAATCATTATAGAGTGATGATACAATATTAAGAAAACAATTGGACAGTTACTTAGATGGGATTAATCTATTAGGTAGCTATAAAACTTTAAATACAACTTAAGAGAGAAATAAAAACTTATAATTAGCCCTTTCAAGTTTAATTATTTTATATATACTAATACTACTTTTCTGTAAAAAAAAATCATTTTGTCTTTAGTTCAAGTTGAGAAAACTAAGTTATTTATAATCCAACTAATTTGTTTCAATGGACAAACATTGCAAATACTTGACTTCCATTTTGTGGAATACAAATATCACAGGATATTAGTACTAGCTCCAGACAGACTTTATCATGCAATATTTGTACTCTATGTACTACTATAGTATACAGTAGTTGGATGATGACATACCTTTATTTTTAGCACTATTTTTTCTGTTCTGTAGATAATACAAAAGCTGTTCAACTTCAGGTAACTTGGTTGGGTGAATAAGTTTACATTTTTCAATTATCTCTTTTGCCAGAGCACCAATGTTTGTGGTATCATTCAGACTCTTGAGCCGAATCCTGAGACAGAAAAAGGGATAAAATCAACAAAACTATATGTGTACTAGTAATAAGCTCATCAAAATAATACTTTATCATTTGTTTTATGTATATATTTGTTTTATTATTCATATTTAATATAATTTTAGACTTGAATATAGAGTTTTGCRCACTGTGATTGCATGATCAAGCAAACAGTGATACTTAAACGATAATCACTGCTCGAGCAGTGATTATGAGGTTTCCCAAAGTTTTCCAGAGTGGAAGTAATTACTAAGACAATCTTTCATCATGTATTTCATCTTTTCTCTGATATTCAACTCAAATTGTACTAAAACAATAAATCATTATTCACCTCAGGCTAATGTGATTATGGTGAATAATTGGCATCATTAATACTATCACTATCAGAATCCCTTGAACATTTTTTTCAAGAAGGAATACAAATTTGAACAAGAAAGAAAATCCGCCAAGCATTTTGGTAGTAGTAGTAAAGTGACACCATCCTTTCGTTAAAAATATGTTTCATTTACCAAAAATCTTTGAAGTGAAGATAATGATAATGATGATAATAATGATGAGGATGATGATGATGATGAAGATGATGATAATAATATTGGCTATTTATATAGCACCTATTCAGCTTGAGAAGTGAAATATATTGAAAAACGAATATAAGATAAAAATAAAGTTGAAGTAGTAATGTAATCAAAAGACAGAGTCACTAGAAATTGAAAATCTAAACAAATGAGTATTGTGAATTGAATAAGAGTTGTGTGAAGAAAAAAATACAAAATATTGTATCTCAAAAAAGGGAATTACAAATAAATTACAACGAAAAAGCTACTGCTGGATTTTTATCGAAAAAAGGGTAACAGGCTGACCGTTTCCAAGGCAATAAGGTTGAGACGCCATTTTAATATTCAAAACAAAATGGTGACTAAAACGATTCTAGACAAAAAACACCAAAGAAAAAAATGAAATGATCTAATTGTGTATTAAAATAAATGTCCATGTGGAGGCATGTATWTTTGTGCAGTTTCAAAATCCAGTTAATGCAAGTGTTATAAGTGAAGCTTATATAAACTTGAACTTACACTTTTTGGCATTCCTTCCTTTCGCCGACCATCGGTTCTCCCATCTCGCCAAGAATGAGTGCTTCAACTTCATAATTAACCACAATTGCATTTTCCGTCGGGTGAACATCAACAGATCCGCCTTTGACTCTCCTACAGCAAAGAAAATAAAGGGATATATTGATAAAAACGATATTTTGGGCAAAACACCAGAGAACTTATAGTTTAATCCAAAAAAGGGATTTCACTGTGACTTGAATGCACCAACTTTTTTGATGCAAAAAAACACGCCAACGATAGATCCCTTTACCTTTTTAGGAACCTWGCTTCATTAGCTTGCATTCTGCGTTACCGGTTGAGCAAATAGTTTTCTAAATCATCTACGCAACAAGAAAGAAAAAGAAAACAGCATACTGTATTTTCGTTGGCACGGCCGCCATATTGGATTAACGCTCCTCGCACGGCACTGTGGGTAGAAATAGATAGAGAAAAATATCCAACGCTGGCCTATGGCCTGCGGATTGTATGGGTTTGTATGGAGATTTACAGCTCAAGAGCCATAATACTTTGATGTTATTTAAAAAAACGCACATGTTATGAGTATACTGATTCTATAATTTTAAAACTTTAAGCAATTGTCTGATTCAGAACACCACTACCCGTAAATGACTGGTTCAAATAGAAGCAGCATGTACACTGCCGAAGATCAAAACTTGGAGCCACTTGCATCCTCCAGCTCAGGATACAAAGTTAAAAAGTTACGAAATCCGTTGATACCAAACACATTGGAAACTGGTCATTTTGAAGCAATACTTTGAAAAGCTATGTCGGTAGGGTAGGTAGGTAGGTAGGTGGTGGGCGGGTAGGTAAGGTAGGTAGGTAGGTAGGTAGGTAGGTAGGTAGGTAGGTAGGTGGTGGGCGGGTAGGTAAGGTAGGTAGGTAGGTAAGGTAGGTAGGTAGGTAGATAGGTAGGTAGGTAGGTAGGTAGGTAGGTGGTGGGTGGGTAGGTAAGGTAGGTAGGTAGGTAGGTAGGTAGGTAGGTAGGTAGGTAGGTAGGTAGGTAGGTAGGTAGGTAGGTAGGTAGGTAGGTAAGTAGGTAGGTAGGCAGACCGATACACAGGATAAGAATAAGGAGCATAAAGCCAACAAGAAAAGAAAAGAAAAGAAAAGAAAAGAAAAGAAAAGAAAAGGAAAGAGAAGAAAAGAAAAAAAAATTAGGCAATCGTAATAGTCCTATTCACGATTCCCGGCGCCATTTTGAAAACATACCAGGAGATATCGAATATATACAGTCAATTCGAAAAACTGCTCAAACCTACGCGACTAGACCGAAGGGGAATATTGGTAAAAATCACTGAAGCGGTTCTCCGCTAGAAATAAAGATAATAATGGCGAGAAACAATCCATTAAATGCATGTCTTTGGGCTTAGGGAAAGAAAAACAAACTTGAAAGTAGTTATAATTCAGTTCACATTTTCGAAAATATGAAGGCATTAAAAATACGTCTCCTTCAACACTTCCCGCCCGCCTACGAAGGTTCGTGCTGTAAACCAGGCATAACTAGTCAGATAAAATTACTACAGTCAACTCGACTCTGAATAACATAGTAAAATTATCTATTAARTGGCTTACTTTTAATTCTTGGGCGTTTTTTAGGGTCCTGTCTTTAAGGTAGCTGACTACTTAAAAGTCTCAATTTTCAATTTTCGGTTTATTTTCCCCCCAGAGTAGTTAACCACCTTAAGGTAGTACCGGATCTTCAAAATTCTTTTTTGATTTTTTTAAAAATTCTGTCATTTGAAGTTCATTGTTAGGGTATTCGAATATTGAAAAAAGAGAAGGGGGTCACCGYATTGGTTATCGAGATATAAGGCTTCGAAAAGGAGGGATTTTTCAGCTTTCCGCGCGTTTTTTTCGAATCGATTTAACAAAGAAAAACAGAAAACTGTTTTACACTATAGGTTTTGAGTCTAGAAAACACATTTAGATAAAAAATCCATCCAATCTTTTGCAAGTAGTGTGAAAAGTTAATTCTAGAAGCGAAATTGCTTGTAATTCGGCGCAGTTATATGCGTGTGTAGTAGTAAAAATGTTGAAAATTTATGACAATGCTTTCAATGAACTTTTTTCCCCGCGCTAAATCCAAAGAAAATGATATCTAGCTTCGAATAAAAAGAAAAAAATTGGGGGTCACCGTACTAATAGACCAGCTATGAGCGACTAAATCCAAGTTTTTGGTCAAAACACACAAATCCTGTCCGCGCGGGACTGGGTTCTTATACATAACCTCCGCCTGAAACATCACAAATCGTCTTTGTAATCTCCAGATAATCTAAGACGTATTTCGAATTGATTTTGAGAATAACATGTCAAATTCATTTTTTGTTACTTTTTATTAAGTTATGAATTTGTTGTTTTGAATCAAAAGAGTGATCAAGTCAGGCAATGAAAATCTAAGCATGTTTTGAAAACATTTCATTTTTGCCTCAAAAGTTCCATGAATTAGCGAAATAAGTTAAGTTATAGAAAAGGATTCCACTTCTGACATTATTTAAATCAATTTAATCAAAACAGCGCAAATAAAGGGTAAAAAACGAGATGCGCGAAATGGATGCGCAGTCGCAAGGGTCCGGAACTACCTTAAATTGTGTCAGCTCATATAGCTTAATTTTTGATTACGACTTGTATATTAGCGATATTAGCTCGGTATTGTAACCATTTTCTCTTGYTGTTTATATAGATCCGCCGGACAACTCAACCTCAGTCTCGCTTCCATGTAAGTTTCAAAATGGCGCCGGGAACTGTGAATAGGACTATTCTGTACACATGCATCGAGTTAGACAGTATAGAATCAGTTGAAATTTATTTTTATTATCTTCATCMTCCATTCGTTCTGATATATAAATTACAGACGATGTTGAAAATCAGATKTCMTTAATATYCGTTWGTGCATYAAACGTCTCCGATTCTTCCTTTATATCTTTGAGGTCTTGTTGGATCTCTGCGCCTCGATCTTCTTCGATGAAAGGACGGACCTTTTTCTTTGTTAACCCGACACTTCTACGTCGGCGCCATCCTTCCCTGTAATAAAATCGTCCATTAATTTTTTTTTTTTTAGAAATGCATAAGAAAATAAATCACGCCAGGTGGTGTGGCCGCTATCGTTGCCTAAATATGCAGCCTGCTGGCCTTCCGAAGCATACCTTAACGAAAATAGAGACAGTTCATATCTTCTCGTAGTTGGGCTTAAAACA